CTTAAAAATATACAACAAGGTCGTCGCGGGGCGATTGTCATGAGGCTAATCAAGGTTTCATATGTTGTTGTTTTACTCATCGTCTAAACGTCTGACAGAGTGTACAATTTATCAATGGATTAATTTATCAATGATATGTGAGTCGCATATGAATGAATCAATAGTCTCTCTTGTTTGTATATCGTTTTGTTCCTTGAATTCTTCTCAACGATAATTATTCCATATAGACTATTGATTTATCTCTAAAAAATAAGTATATATACACAATATAACATCTTTAAATTAATATTTTATAAATTATTATACATTAAAAATTTCTATAAAATAATATAATTTTATGGTTTCAAATTGAGTTTTTGGTTCAGTTAATATATCGGTAAATTAATAATGTTTATAAATTTATAAAAATTATAGTTTTGATGCTGTCTCAACATTATTAAATATAGAGATTTCACTGTATAATTGTAATATTATTAATCATTTTTTATATATTTCTGCATGTGTTTTCTAAATAACTGGCCAGTGTGGACGTTTTTTTTTTTTTGAACTTAGCTTTCGTATTTAAAATGCAAAGAAAATTAAAAAATTACAAGCCATCATAAGCTATGGTTTGGTTTGAGCCCATAAAGCCCAGTTAAGAAAACACACATTAAGGAAAGAAGGACCAAAGGCCCAGAAACACAATAAAACAACGAAGATGGGAAGGGGTTTCTTCTTCGTCGATTATAACGGAGAAAGTACGGAAGTCGGGTTGATGGAGAATCAGATCAGCCACTGTTGCATTAGTCTAGACGATCCCATGGGATTAGTTTCTCGCAGAGACAGAATCCGATCTTTAATTTGTCGATCCACAAGACGTAAGATTGAATCAGGCGAGCGGAAGATTTGCCTGTGAATTCTTGCATTTCTCTCTGCCCATAACCAATAGATACAAGCTTGCCAACAGAGTCTTACCAGGATCCCTTTTGTTGAGTTTCTGCTTACAGATTGGATTTGCGTCATAATTCTCTCCCAGGTTCTCTCTGGTGTTAATCCACATCTCCGAGCTAAAGAAGCCCATATACTCCACGATAACGAGCAAGAGAAGAATAAGTGATCCCGGCTTTCATCTGTGAGATTGCAGAGGACACAAGTAGGGCATGTAGAGAGACCCCAACTTATTACCCTGTCTTTTGTCGGGCACCTGTTCAGTACAAATAACCATGATAGAAAGTTGTGTCTGGGAATCCCGCTCTTGTTCCAGACCAGATTATGCCAAGGTACAGAGATTCCTTCATCACAAAGCTTTCTGTAAGTTTGCCCTATGCCATATTTCTGAAATATTTTTCCATCGATTTCCCAATCGTAATAATCAGCATGGGTGTTCAATTGAATCGTGGTTAAATGAGCATGGAGATTGACAAGGGCTTCCGATCTTGCAGGTGGGATGAGCCAGTTGCTGTCAATATGTAGAGAAGCGAGGGTAGCATTCGGAGGAACACCTAAGGTGGAATTGCCAGTGATACCAAGATAGGTCTTTAGTGAACCAAAAGGTGACCAATTGTCTGTCCAGAATCTGCAGTTGAGACCATCCTGGACACGCAGCTTGATCCAATCATAGATAGAGGAGCTTAGTTTAAGGAGCTTGTTAACCTGCCATGAGAAACGTCTGTGAGGAGCAGTGGTCCAAAGGTTACTTAAACATCCATCTAAAATCTCCTCTTTGAACCAAGCTACCCATACCGAACCAGACTGGAAGAATAGTAACCAGATCATCTTAAGACAGCAAGCTTTGTTCCATACTGAAAGGTTTTTAATCCCTAGACCCCCTTCCCTCTTAGGCTTTGTAACCACTTCCCAGGAGACTCTAGCGGAATGGTGATCATCAATGTTCCCTTTCCAGAGAAACACACCACACAGAGAGTTGATGCGTTTGACACAAGCTTGGGGAAGAATGAAAGTTGAGCACCAGAAGGTGGTGATGCCCGTGATTACTGTTTTTATCAGAAGGAGTCTACCGGCAAATGATAAGGCTTTAGCACTCCAAGAAGACAGCCTGTTCTTTATTTGCTGAAGTAAGATCTCACAGTTTAGGATAGACAATTTTTTGGTGCAGAGGGGAACACCAAGGTAGCGAACTGGTAAGGATCCCATTGGCATTCCTGTCGAGAATTGAATCAGGTTTGTTTCCTCAACTGTTAGTCCGGACGCGAAGAATGAAGATTTTTGCAAACTGACGGCTAGTCCAGATCTCTGCTCAAACTCTCTAAGCACTTGTAAGACAGCTTGTACCGAACTTAAAGATCCATCTATGAAGATCAGCAGATCATCAGCAAAGCTTAAGTGTGTGAGTTTGGCAGCTTGACAATTAGGATGGTAGTTGATCTTCAGTTCATGAGCTGCCTGATTCAACATAAGCGACAAGAAATTCATTGCTATTACAAAAAGATAGGGAGAAAGCGGATCTCCTTGCCTTAACCCTCGGGAACCTTTGAAATACCCATTGACAAATCCATTATATCCGACTGTGAAGTTGGTGGTACATATACATGCTCGTAGCCACGATATGAATAGACGGGGGAGATGCAAAGCTTCTAGGCAGGAGAAGAGAAAGGTCCAAGATAAGGTATCAAAGGCCTTTGCAATATCAACTTTAATAGTTATTCTTTTTGAGCTCTGATTTTTATGATATCCTTGGACCAGTTCACCCGCTAGAGACGTATTCTCAACCAACAGTCTGTCCTTTACAAACGCTGTCTGATTAGGCAATATCAAGGAGGGCAGGATAGGCTTCAACCTCTTCACCAGGAGCCTTGAAATAACCTTATAAATGGTGTTTAAGCATGAGATTGGACGATAGTCAGTGATAAAGGAAGCACCAGGGTGCTTTGGGACCAAAGACAATATCGTGGCATTTGTAGATGCTGGCATGAAAGATGAGAAGAAGAAGTGACCAATAGATAACAAGACCTCGTTGCCCAAAATACTCCATGAGGCTTTATAAAATCCTGAGGTAAGACCATCTGGCCCTGGCGCCTTATTTGGATTTAACTTGAATAGCACTGATGTGATTTCATCTGCTGTAGGGACAGAGAGCATAGTGTTGCACTGAGACTCCGAACAAGTGAAGTCTGTCAGCGACTGGAACCAAGTTGATGAAGATACAATTCTGAGAGATGGCGCAGGAACAGGCCCTAAGATGCTTTGGAAGTGCGACACTGCGAGACTGGTCATCTGAACAGGATCTGAGATGATGATACCCGAAGGAAGTAAAAAAGATCTTATGAAATTGAAGTTCATCCTGGATTGCACCATCCTGTAGAAATAGGTAGTATTCTGATCCCCTTCTTTTAACCAATTAACCCTTGAACGTTGTTTGAAATAGCTTTCTTCAATTTCTCTTAGGAAATTCCATGTTTGTAACGCCTTCTTCTCCATCTCAAACAATTGAGCAGATGGGGAATGAAGCACCTGTACCTGCACATCTAGAAGTAAACGGTTAGCCTCACTTACTCTCAGTTGAATTTGTGAAAAATTATCTCTATTTAAGCATTTTAAATCTCTCTTAATCTGTTTTTGCTTCCAGTAAAGCGCAGTGAGGTTCCAAGCAGTGCTTCCGGCCTGTGTCCAAGCATCAAAAACCACCTGGTGAAAGCTCGGGTGTTTTACAAGGTAATTATAGAATTTGAATGGCCTGTTCCCTGAGGAAGGGATTCTTGTGGCTAGGTCTAGGGTACAAGGGGTGTGATCAGAGGTCAGATTAGGATGAAAGAAGGCTGAGCAGTTAGGAAAAAGGTTGAGGACAAGGTTGTTGATCAGTAACCTGTCGAGCTTTTTGGCTATGAATTCTTCTGGCCTACGGTTAGTCCATGTGAAGTGTGGACCTTGATAGCGTAGATCGTACAGGCCCATCTGTGTTAAACTGTCCCTTAACTCAATCATATCAGTAGTAATGGAACTCACATCTGACGAAGAGTGCTCCATAGGATGAATAATTTAGTTGAAATCACCCCCTACCATCCATGGAACTGTGTCCAGCGACATAGATTGATAGATATTTAGGAGGGTCACCCATAGTTCAGTACGATCTTCTCTCTCATTTGAAGCATATATAGCAGTGTAGACGAATTGATTCGCCCCAGGGATTTTAACTTCACAAGTTATCGCTTGTCTTGACTGTTGCAGGATGCGTACAGCGACTGTATCTTTCCAAATAATCACAATCCTGCCATCATCATCAGAGTGGTGGTTTGAGGTATAATTCCAACCTCTACAAAGCTTGTTCATAATATGATTTAAGTTGTGTTCCTTGATGTGTGTCTCTAAAATAGTACCAAAAATAGGCTGATGGGTAGACAACCAACTACAAAAAGGCTTATGCTTATCCGGGTCATTTAGACCTCGGACATTCCAAAAAAATAGTTTACTATACATAGGGGTTAGTCTATGGTCTCTTCGTGGTGAAGAGAACCATCAAGAGCCAAAACAGAAAAAGGGTTTACATAAGAGGAAGGTGGAAGGGATAGGGAAGGGGATTTAGAAGAGGTGGATGAAGTAAAATAGGATAGCTGGGCAGTAAAAGAAGGGAAAGAAACAGCTTTAGGATCAGGGCGGGGTCTTTTGAGTGAGGGCGCAAAATAGGAATCAGGAGGGCTTAGAGGGTCAGAGACTACTAGAGAGGGATGACAAACAGGGGAAGACAAGGTTAAAGCCAAAGGGGTTGAATCAGGGTTTGAGGTTTGGGGAATGGCAGAGAGAGGGGTGAGAGGTGGCTTGAGAGCAATGGAACTTGGAGTAGAGGGGTCAGTAGGTAAAATAGGTGGAGCGGGAGGGATATGGGCAATAGGATTTAGAGAGTTAGAGGGTAAAATAACAGGAGGGGATGAGAGGGAAACAGAGAAAGGGTCAGAACTCTTAGGGGAAGAGGCCTCGGAGACAGTTTGAGTTGGAAGTGTTTCGTGATTCACCACAGATTTTCCTTTATGAGAGTTAGAAGCTGACTTTTGCGTATTTTTTGCAGGGTTTTCCGAAGACCTTGCTGGAGGGGGAAGCAAAAGGCAATTACGTGCCACATGCCCAAGTTCCTTGCAATGTGAACATGTAGGAGGTACCCATGGGTATGAGACCTGGACTTCCACAACTTCACCACTTTGACGCATGAACTCAACTACCTTAGGCAATGTCTTTGTAAGGTTTACAGCAACCTTTACATGAGAGAGGGTTAAGCTCACCAGATTCTTCGTAAAGTCATCCGTTTCTTTAGGGTCACCAACCAATCCAGCAACTAGGCTTAACCCTTCCTGATGCCGGAGATCAAGGGGAACTCCAGTTAGATGAGCCCAAATTTGGATTGTTTGTGGAGGGGGAGAGGTAGCAGATGCTGATGAGGACCATTGAACCGCATGAAACATGGATTCACCTACGTACCATACTCCCTTTTCAATGATCTTCTGCTTCAGGTAATCAGAAGGAATACGAACAAGCATTGACCGAGATAGAGGATTAGTATGAATTTCAACTCTCTTCCCTTTTCCCCACATATGATTGAGAACACTTTGAATTTGGTTGAAGGGAGGAGGTCTACCATTAAAGTAGCATATGATGAAGTCTTTGTGAATTTCGGCACCTTTCTGAAACACACTATCTGGAATGAGGACACGGGGAATGCCTTTATCCGTAAGGGTCACAGGAGCAAGCCTTCTCAAGGTTTTATCCTCCTGTCATCTGATTTTTTCAACCAAAGGAACGCTTGAAGGAGCAGGAGTAGGTACAGTATCAGTTCCTGTTTGCTTTGGTCCCGAAATTGGAGAAGGGATATGGCCGTTAACAGGGTTTGGGTGAGGATTTAGAGAAGGGATTTTTTAAGTAGGATTTGGCATAGATGCGGGAGTAGGGTTGTGAACAGAGCCAAGAGTATGGTTTTGAAGAGAGCCAGGAATTGGGATTTTTGAAGTTGGAGGAAAGGGGTTTTGTGTTAATGGAGGTGCATGATTTTTGTTAGGAATGGTAACAGAGCCGGCACTGGAAGCTCTATTGGTATGGATTGGAGAAGAATGTTTAGGAGGAAGTATTTTAAAATTTTCAAAGGTTTTTGGAACAGTGTTTTCAAATCTGGAAAAAATAGAACTGGAGGAAACAGTAGATTCCGAAACTGGGCCAGCAGAGGCAGTACCAGTAGCAGTTAAGGGAGCGGAGGGTTTCACAGCAGGCCTTAAAGATCTGGCAGTTTGCGGTGAATTCCGAGAAGATTTGGGAGAAGGAGAAGAGCTGAGGGGAGGGAAACGAGTAAGGGACAGGGAGTTATTAGGGTCAGGCGGGTCAGGGGGGATGGGGGGGTTAGGGAGGGGGCTTTCACCAGAGGAGAAACGCAGAGGAGACAGGGCGGAAGCATTGTTGTGAGGGAACCAGGGGTTCGCCATTACTGTTACGGAGCTCACTGGTCAAAAGTTATTATCACCCGTGCCAGTGGAGTTATTCTTGGGTTCACCCCCTAGGGTGAACCTCTAAATTCACCATCCAATAGGATTGCATCATTTCATATTTGATATCTTTTAAAAAAGGAAACAAAATCTTGTTAAGTTATATTATGTTTTTAAAAATACAAATACAAAAATAAATAAATAAAATAATAATTAATAAAAACGAAAATGATTTTTTAACCCTAAACTCTAATCCTAAACCCTAAAGCCCTTGGTAAATTTTATAAAAAAATGTTTAAAAAAAATTCTTTTCACTAAACACTAAACCCTAAACTTAATCCTAAACCCTAAACCCTTGGGTGAATCATAAACACTAAACTCTAATCCTAAACCCTAAACTCTTGGGTGAATCAAAAACACTAAACCCTAAACTATAATCCTAAACCCTAAACCCTTGGGTAAATCATAAACACTAAACCCTAAACTATAATCCTAAACCCTAAACCCTTGGGTGAATCAAAAACATTAAATTTTTATAGATTTATCCGAAGGTTTGTGATTTACTTAAGATTAGACTTTAGAGTTTAATGTTAAAATATTTTTTTTTAAATAATTATTTTCGTTTTTCTTAATTATTATTTTTTTATTATTTTTTGTATTTTTATATTTAAAACACACAATATAACTAAATAAGATTTTGTTTCCTTTTTAAAAAGATATCAAATATAAAATGATGCAATTCTATTGGATGGTGAACCTAGAGGTTCACCCTAGGGGGTGAACCCAAGAATAAGTCGTGCCAGTGTGGACGTTTCCGTCAACTTATTGCATATACTTGTTTTTCATTATATACACTAAGATACCCATATTATATGTTTATGATATGGCGTTTTGTAGGTAGATGAGGAATGATTTAAAAATTCTAAAAAGTTATATGGCTAAGTATAGCATACACGTACATGGCACAGGTCTTGCCATGTTGCCATCCACTGATGCAAATGCTTACATACATAATCTTCATCACTATAAAAAAAAAAAAAAAAAAATCTTCACCACTATCTCTGGAATCTCCTAAATTTCCTCCTACGGCTATTTAATTAATTAATGTTATCATAATTTGAATTTAAATTAACTATTAATTAGATTCGGATAATTCTATAAGTTTTGTCGGTTTTCTGTTTGTAGAGAATGCTTGGAAACATGCAGAATGACTCGTCTTTCAGAGACTAGTTTTTCAATTATTCTTTGGAAGAGGCTTTTATTAGACAAAGAACAGACTTTTATTCTTTTGTCCTTAAATGTATGTATGTACAAAAATGAGATAAACAACAAAATCTTTCCTCTTAACTATTGTTTATTTGCGTATAGTTGTAATCAGTCAGGCACGGTTGAATAAACCATACAGAACATGTCATTTTCTAGATAAAGATATAAGATTTAAAATGTAGTGGACTATTAGATATTGTTAGGCTAAGGGGTCGTCTTATCATTACCGTTTTCCTTGCGTGCAGTTAGAGCATGTACATAATCTTCAATTTCACGATTTTGTTTAACATATTTATATAGGTATATATATATATATATATATATTGTCATCAATTTGGTAGATAAAGATATAACATTAATGTAGTTCACTCTAGATAATACAAATGAAGGATTTTGTTTGGAGGTTTGAACGGGCAAAGATATGTGCCAAACTCAAACAGAGAAAGAGAATTTTGAGTGACATCATTTGATTTTGTGATCTTCAAAACCAAACTGACTAGAAAGAGATTTTCGAAGGTGTAACGTACTCTTTCGTTGAATTGGTAAGACAACCCCTCTTCATTTTGTTTTCACAAAAAAAAAAAACTCTTCTTCATTGTTAGATTTTTTTTTTGAAACCAGATGTTTATTTATTATCAGTCTAAATTTGTTACACAATAATGTTTTTTTCCAATCACACAATTATATAAGAAAATAAATGTTAACTAACATATATAGTTGTGCATACACACACATGTGTATTCGAGTGTTTGTCGTAGTATCTCTTATCAGACGAAGCCATATAGATCCGACCATGTACGTCTCCATATTGCTACATACTTTTTAATAAAATATGTATATGATTATTCTACCACGTATATAAATTAGATGCATACGTACGTACGCATAATAGAAATGAGCTGCTTAATGGCAGATTAAAATACCAAATACCTCAGTAATAATATTCAACTGTTGAAAAATATTCGAAGTCATCGGTGATTTAATTATATAAAACACAATAAAATTTTGATTGTTATATATGACCTGATTTAGCAAATTTGACTGTCGACATAATTGTTTTTCTTGTTATGAATATTGACAAATGTATCATAGTAATACATATCTACATGCACATATATATATATATATATATACTCCAGTGGAGTTGAATAGGAAACATGGAAGAAAATCGTCCTCGGATTCTTTATGAATACTATAGGCACCTAACATTTCCAGTGTGTTCATAGTTGTTTATTTCTTTTTATATAGTGTCAGACGTATTGTAATTTGAAAAGATTTTTATATTTTCTAAGAACCTAATTAATTAGGGGAAAAAGGAAGAAGCTAAAAGGTAGAATCTCTTTCAAATTTATAAAAGCATAAATCAAAAAGAAAAACTCAAAAGATCATATATCTTTCTTCGTGAATAAAGCTAAGTTGAAACTAAAATAAACAAATATGATCTGCATGAATATTAATCTCCATCCATATATGAACCCCCTAACGTCACAAACTTATACAAAAACCACCTTATATATATAAGTAAAAACAAAAATAAATTATAGAAAAAAATTACACATGATTTTGCCGATTGAAGTAACTTGCATCGTCGGAGTTAACAAGAGAGGTTATGTCCTCCCAACTTATTGTGCTTTGATCAGCCGATGTACTCGTCGTTCCTCCGGCTAACGCTGCTCCGGCTCCGGCTACAGATGAGTTTCCATATAATTTTGTGTTCTCGTTGGTCTCAAGATTCGCTACGTTGTTGTTGTTTAAGAACACATCATTGATAGCTTCTGTCTGAAAACTACTACTACCAAACCACTGAAGAATCTCTTGTTGATGTTGAGGGTGATCACCACTTGTGTTTGGTGACGGAGAGTTCGTGCTGCTACTCATGAGAGCAAACTCTCCTTCTCCTCCTCCTCCTGACTCCAGATAGTAACTAGGATCTAACAAAAGCTGCGAGAAGGAATCAAAAGGGTTTGTGATAGCATCTTCAGGATAATGATGATCAGGGTTTGTTCTCATCGGTTCTTCTTCAATCTTGACCATGTTCTTTAGTGTGATCAATGGATTTGGTTCTAAGTTGCAAGACGGTGTCGTTTGGTAGTAAGTGCAACTTGTTGGTTCCATCATCGCAAGAGGTACTTGATGAGGAGGAGGAGGCAGCTGAGGTAGTAATGGCCATGGTGATGATCCAAACATGTCGTTCAGATAAAGATTCGTATTACTACCGTAACTTTGGCAATGTCCTTGCCCTTGTTGTTGTCGTTTCATCATCACCATCTCTTGCTTCATCCGGGCTTCTTGGAACTCTTTTCTTTGTTTGTTAAGAAGCTTCTTCTTCAGCCTCGTGTTCCAATAGTTCTTGATGTCGTTGTCTGTTCTTCCAGGCAATTGTGCAGCTATTATAGACCACCTTTAAAAAAATCATTGAACACATAAACATAATGATTCACTAACTGAAGACAAGTGTGTTAATTAATGATATTGACCCATGTGATATATAAGTAGTATAATACCTGCTACCAATAGTAACATAGAGGTTGCAAATGATGTTGTCCTCTTCATCAGAGAAGCCACCATGTTTGATGTTTGGTCTCAAATAGTTGAGCCACCTTAGTCTGCAACTCTTCCCACATCTCCTTAGACCTATATACATGTACATATAAAATATACACAAATATTAACGCAAAAATATGTACACGAAAGTTCTATTTGCTATAGAATATTCAAACCGTCTCAAATTATTTTAAATCAGAATTATATACCGATCTTCTGAGGCAAAGCGATCCAGTTGCCTCCTGTGCCACTACTCTCTATGTAATCTTTGAGTTTTGCATCTTCTTCAGGAGACCAAGGCCCTTTCTTCACGTTAGCCTTATCACAGCACGGTGCTCTTCCCATCTTCTTGATTCGTGACTCTTGTTCTTGTTGTATCTCTCTTTCTCTCTCTTTTATTTTTATCTTTCTCAACTATGTTGAGGATGAAGAGAAGGAGGAGGATTTTGTAGGATGGTGCGTGTATGTGAAGTTTTTATATATATATACACGAAAATGTGTATAATGGAGAAAAGTATATGTGAATCAAGAAAATATAAAAGGAGAGAGTATATGATAGCTGGAGGAGATAGTTGTGATGAAGATGTCAAAAGTTAGGGAATTAAAAATGAATAAAAGTTACTTTATGGAATGGAAATTTGATGGTATACATTATGTTATAAAATATTAGTAGAATTCAGAAATGAATGACAGAGAAGGGGGAGACTAATGTTTTTCTCATTTGTCTTGGCTTCTACATCAGCATCTAGATATATTCAATATATTTACAAATGAAATATATTTAGTTTAAAGGAATTTTCTTAATTATAAACCCCACAAATTATATGTCAAAAACGAGTTATTCTTTTGTTCATATTATATGATGGACCTTTAGGTTCATCAACCAATAATATTATATTATTTCATATTCAGTATCTTTTCAAAAAGAAAAAAATATTATGAATTTATATTATATTTTTAAAATGAAAAGATAAAAAAAAATACTAGTAGTTGCCCAATATTTTTAACGCTGTGAGCAAAACACTATACAATAAATATTAAATTATAACCCATAAATTCTTGGGTAAACCCTTGGATAAATCATAAACACTAAATAAAAAACGCTAACACTAATGCATGAGTTGTAATGTAATGCACGAGTTGCATCTAATTCCAAGAGCATCTTCAACCTACATCTATATTTATATCTATAATAACATGTAGTTGCAAAACTACTTCAACTTATATCGATTTCATCTTTTAAAACAGAGATTATTTTAAAATACATTAGAATAAATTTCATTTATATTATAGAGTTCTTCGATTTCACATGGGAAAATACATTACACTAGATATGGTCTAAGATTATAAGCACTCTTGAGTTTTTGTTTAAAATAGTGGAGATCAATCATTGTGTTATCACTGTAGAGTTGCTGACATTTTGTGTTGCTAGTATTGGATTTTATAATTTTTATTTCTGATAATATTTAATCCACAGTTTAGAACTTTTGTTACTGAAGCCGCAGTTTAGGACTATGATTAACATATATATAGTAAATGGCATGCAAAATCACAAATACTTTTTTTTTTGTCTAAATGTTAAGATTTCTATTCTTTTTTAGAGTTTACAATGTTGTAAAACACACAACTTATTACAAAGAAAAAAGAAGCAAGAGAGTAAGAGAGTTTGAGAATAGCTTTAACTACAGAGAGAGAGAGAGAAACCAAAAATACAACTCAAGTAAAGAAAGTGAGGGAGTAGTTACAGTAGGCCGAGATAGAGACAATAGCCTATCTCTCATCGTTGGATTCACCACTCGGAAGAACGTCTTTTGAGTTGAGGAAACGCCCGTGAAGATGTGTGCATTATGCTTGCACCATATGCTGTAGATGATGATTTGATTGAGAAGCTTCAGCACTGCCACAGCGCGCGAAGCATGAGGGCTTTGGAGACGCTGGCACAACTCGACAGTAGCTGCTAACGAAACCGGAGGGGACGCCATGTACCTGCCACGAAAACGAGTCCAAGTAGCAGCCGCAAAAAAACATTGGAAAAAAAGATGGCTAATAGACTCATCGGCTATGTAACAGAGAACACAATCTGGTTGGACAATTAGTCTCCAAGAAATCAAGTTTATCTCAAGTTGGTAACCTTGTAAGGAAAGCAGTCCAAAAGATTAAAAAAAACAGCGAGATATTTCTTCTTTAAACCAAATCACTGAGTGCCAATTAACTAAAGGACCTGAAACACGGATCATCTCCCAAGTCATCAGAGAAGAGAAAGATGGGCCGAAACTACCAGAATGATTTCTCCACAAGTAAACGTCATCACCATTTGCTGTATAGTGATTATGGTGTGTAATATGGAGTAATTAATAAGTTAGCAAAAAAAAAGGAGTAATTATATCCTCTATATATTAATTGAGGAACATTTGAAAAGATATAACCTCAAGTTTGTAATAATTAAAAAATAACCTTGCTGAATTGTCAATCAATTAACATGCCAATTAATCTGACGTGGCAGCTTTAGGTTCAATTGGAAAAAAAATGTAGGTCCGAAATCGATTATATATTTCGCTAGGGAAACATTAATATCACACGCATGTACATTTAAATGTAAGACTATAAAACTCGATATACATTAATATCACACGTATCACATGGAAGACTTACATAAGCTTCCATATAATAAATGGAAATAGAAAAATAGAAAGTATGATTCACATAGAGAAATAGAAAAACTTACATGCGATGGAAGAAAGCTTCTGGAATCGTGCTTGGGATTTCTTATCTTTTCCTTTTAATTAACGAAAGTCTATATGTAAAATGAAAAATACTTTGTGACCAAGTTAAAATTTAATATGTCGCAAAACATAAATATCCCTTATATATTAAAAGAAACATTTGAAAAATTGTAATCTTAATTTTGTAATAATTAAAAAAGATCACATGCTTAGGTGTCATTCAATTAGGTAATCAATTACATTCAATTGAGAAATAAGTATGTTTACATTCGATTTTTATATGTCGCTAGATGTATTCTTTGGTCAAACTATATGATATGATGATATGATATGATATTTAGAATAAAAACATTTATGACTGTTCCGCTAGATATATTACTATTTTATTTTCTTTCCTTAAATAAAACCTACGAAATTACCATAAATGACTAATATATATATGATAATTAATGATTCTAATAGTAAATATTGATAACAATTTATATCTACTCCATCATTTTTATTGAATTTTATATTATTAAAATAAATTAAACAATCAAATTAGTTATAAAATTAAACTTTAGATTTTTTTCGTATATATATTACATTTTGAGTTTACAAAACGAGAATAAGTGACTAAAACTATTAAAATTACTATGTTAAAAATTAATGATCAATAGTTGAACATTTTTATTATAAAAAGATACACATGATTTTTATACCATATGAGTAAAAAGTATCATTCAATAATATATATATATATATTAAACTATATACCATATAAGATTACCAGTGACAAAAAAAAAAAAAAAAAAAAAAAAAAAAATATACCATATAAGATTACATAAATATTTTAGTTTCAAAAATGTCAATGAATTTTCAAGAACATTTATAAATTATAAACTTATTAAATTTTTTACATTGAAATTTTTTTTATCAATGATTTAAATATATTAGTTCTTTTTTTATAATTTTATATTGTTAAAAGATATTAAACAATCAATAATATGTTTTTTTTGTATATACCATTAAGTATGAATGGATGTGATTTTATTAAAACTGTAGGATTTGGATATGGTTTGATTTATAACCGATTAAACTGAAACATATAAATATGTATATAGTTATAACGACTATTATTACAATTTCTAAATCACTTGAATCACTTGAACTATAATTAACTAACAATTTAGTGAGGTTTCTTATTTTCTTATTTTTTTTATCTTTTTGCTTTATTTTAATAGTAAATAACCATAAATAATAATTATAAATTTGATAGACAACAATTAGTTGAAATTCTTTACAACTTTTTTTATCTTTAAATAAACAGAGTTTTGTTCAATCGAAAACATATTAATTTGATGAAAACATATGGAAGAATATACAAACTTTTCTTTCATTCTGTTTTGTTTTTTTATTTTTATTTTCAAATTTAAAACTTTGATATTAATTCCAGATTCATCATTTTATTAGATGATAGAAGCCCTTTTTATTCTTTTATTTAAATATATAATATTTTTTAATAAATGACTTTTTGACAATATGACTCTAAATATGATCATGATATATTTGTATAATATATAATATGATCTCAAACTAAATAATTATGTTTTTTGGTATAAAACTGAATAAACTGAAAACCGATGGTATATAAACCAAATCGAATCCAAGTAAATATGGATTTAGAATATTAATTATATCTTAAGAAATAAAATACCAAAAAATTGAACCTAACTAAAACCCGATATCTGGATTGAACATCCCTAATCCAAATGAACCAAACTATTGTTTCATTTTCCAAAATATAATAAAAATAACAATTTCATCCCGCGCAAGGCGCGGGTCTTATCCTATCCTAGTATGCAATTATTACATAAGACTTCACGGAAGATTGAAGTCCTACTATTCATCACAAGAAAAGATTGAAGTCCCACTTGCATGGCAGCTTACGAAGAAGAAGAAAAACCGATTATGTGTACTTTTATTACATGCATGCGATAGACTTGGTCATCAAGAGTAATATAAACTAATTCAATATCATAAAGACTTAGTCAATATTTGTTTTAGTAATTTATTTTTGTAGTATAGTACAAAGGAGTGTATACATGTCGAGATAAAGACAAACAATTCGAATGTTTGGTGATGGAAATTTGTGAACCGTCTAAGAGACAGTATAAATATTAGAGAAACTCGTATTGAGCAATGAGCAATATCTCACTGATCAAAATTCATATAAAATGAGGATACTGATATCTTCAAGTATCGCCTATTTGAACTTTGATAAAGGATATATAACGTTGTAGTTGTTATACTAATAAAAAGGAAAAAAAAATTGACATACAAAGATTTTTGGAATCAATCTAAGCATGGATTTAACAAAAGAGTAGCATTGTATATTCAAATCCTTAAGGACGCTAACTGTAACTAGTTATTGGTTACATACAAAACAACTTAACTATCTTCAGTATTCCAAAATACTCCAGACAAAAATTCAGATCCATTAATTTAACTGTCCAAAAACATATCATCAATCATGGGATCGCATTTGGTGGATGATGAATCGCTTGTTATTTAATATTCCCTCCGTTCCTAAAAGATTCATGTTCTAGAAAAATATTTTGTTTCAAAAAGATGTATATTCTATGAGAAAATTACAAGTTTCAAAAAAAATAATTGATTTTATTAGATTACTATTGGCTAAAACTTGTTGAAAATTAAAAATTACTGAAAATGATAGTGATTTAATGTGCTTTCTTAATATGTGTGAAACATTAGAAAGACTATCTTTTAGGATCAGAGGGAGTATTACCCTTTTGAAAATGATGAGTTATTGATATGTACCAAAAGAGATAATTAATGTTGAATATTTTTATCAGTTACAAACATTGATGCTAAAAATTAATAGATTTTTTTTTTAAAAAAAATAACGTAATATTATGAGTATTTGAAATACTAATCATCCTATAATTTTTTGTTCAGTAATTAATTATTTTCTTATTAGTCAATATTTATAGCACAAATATTTTTAATGTCTATTAAGATTCTCATAACAGAAATAAAATTCAAAATATTTTGAGATAATTTGGATTAATACATAGAATTTTTTTTTATCATTTATAAAACAAAAATAAATCACAAATCAAACTCAATCAAGATAGATTTAAGATAGATTTGAATCATGTATTTAGTTTCATGTTCTTCATTCATTTGAGTATGTTTCTTCCAATTGAAGAATAAGGATTGTAAGTTTCCCAATATGTTACCTGAATTTCATCAGTCATCACACTTGAATACATTTCCCACCTACAAAATGTTAAAGAACAAAAAAAAAAGTCTCGAACAACCACTAAAAAAGTATTATAGTTATCATAGAACTTTGAAGTAACATTGTTCAAAAAATGAAGTACCGTTCTTTTCTGCAAACATGTAGAAACTTTCGAGCGATTAGTAGTGCATCTCTCTTCTCTCCTTCTGATCTTAAAGTTCATCAGATGAAAACCATTCTTATAACATAGAAATGATATAAAGAAATTGAAAACATAACATTTTATAAGGAATAATATATCCCACATCGAGAATTCGAAAGAACATTAAATAATATATAAAGTGTTAGAGTTAATCTATTAATTACCAATTGGGTTTTTCTAGACTTCTTACTTAAAATCAGTTGGTTCTAACCTATATTATTCAATATCTTTTAGAATTTTCTATATGTGATATATTGTCCCTAATATATTTCAGAAACAAAAATATTTGACAAGAAGGAGTTGAAGAAGACGATCACTGGCGTGGTAATTAAAAGGAGATCATGTGTGATTTAAAAAAAAGTTATTAGTTAATTTTGTAAAATGTATGTTTTAGAATTTTATACATATATTAAGAAAATCTATAAATTTTTAGTTACCAATACATTACTTTTTGTAACTTACTATTTCCTATAATTTCTAACCAATGAAATTTAAATAAATGCTTTAAAGTTTACAATTTAACATTAACTAATACATTAAAAATGTAAAATATACAATATTTTAGAAATAATTTTTTTTTCCTTATAAAACATGGATCAAATTGAAACTGAGGGAGTATTAGTTAATATAATCAAGGGGGGAAATCCTTACATTTATGGCAATATTTTAATAGTTTGTTACAAAAAATTACAATAATAACTGCGAATTACTAGCGGTTATAATTTATAGGATTATAACTATAACTCTGAAATTAATTGTTGTTTTCTTTGCATGCTTTGTTTTTGTTTTGTTTTTTAATCTTATGATGATATGATCTGTATTTGTAGGCTATCGAAAGGCGTCCAAGATGATATGAAATGGAATGTTCGATGGATTAATGAACCAAGCATACGCCGTGGTAGTAGAGTTCGTTCTTGGAGGACCGAATGACAGTGATTCCGATATGGGCCTAAAGATAACGGACTTAATAAAAACATTTTGGGCCTTTTAGGCCCAATAAATGAATATCGAATGTGTGTATATAAATAGAGAGGAAACCTAATCTGTTAAATATTAAAAGTAGCCGCCGCGTGCATCCGTCGCTCAAAGTAAAAAAAAAATGGGTGACTCCGCGGAGAAAATGCTTGAGGGGTACAAGAGGGAGGATGAGTTTATGGAGAAAGTGAACCAATGTGGTGTAAGTCTTTCATCAAATCTTTGGTTTTGTAATGAATCGATATCGACAGAACATATAATTACCCTAATCTTCTTGTGTTCTCGCTATTGTCTGTGTGTGTTGTTAGGGGTTCGATATTGAGCATATAACGGAAAAGAAACCAGGATGTTTTTGGGCTGCGGAGATCGCAAAACATGAAACCGCCCCCAAGGACATCGTCCTATATGCTAGGTTTGGGATCCATAAGTACAATATGAGCCAGGTGACAAAATTTTAAACTCCCTTGTACTGTTTGTTGATCTTGCAGTGTAATAATAAAATACTATTCACTTTTGAATTCTTCTCAGGGGACTAACTTGCAGCTGCATCGCATAGAGAAATACAATTCGTACACTAAACATTGTTATGCCATTCACTATGTAACCGCAGTTGCAAAGGATCCATCTGCCGGCGGTTCCCTTGTAACTTTTCAGACCAGTTGTTATGAAGAAGGCGTTGGCGTCAAGAGGTTGTCTTGTTTTATTGCTAGACCTAAGACTGGACCACATGGTAACACTGTTGTTTTTGCTGCATTATATATATTTTCCACAAAACTATTTTAATTAGAATAAAAACTAATTCCACTATTAAATAAATATATCTCAGTTACCCTCGATGAAGATGATAGTCCACTCACTGAACCTATAGACAAAAGTAGATTGCCTGAGTGGCCAGGAGAGAATGCTTTCGAGGATAAAAAGCATTATTACGTGGTAAACTAATTAAGCTTGCTTTTTTTCCTTCCTGTAGTCCAGTGTTTGTTGTACGTGATTTGTTTTTTTCTTTAATTTGGCAGGTGAAGAAATCAGAGGTTCGAAAAAATGATTGGATTCGTTTATACTTGGAGCTTGCATTCTACACTGCAAATTTGGCCCTTCCAAATGTAGTAACCTCTTCTCTTTTTCTTTTCTTTTTTTGTTATATTTCCCGTTTTACTCGGGTCTCTATTGTTAATAATCTCGTCTTTCTTGTTCGTTTTTTTTTTGTTTTTTCTTTGCAGCTTGATCTGTCGAAGTTGGTCATTACTAAAGTAGCCGTGTATAGTAGCGACGAGAGCATCGTTGTGCCAAACGAGAGACTCAATTCCAGAAATGCAATCTTCTACATCAAGTACAAGTACTGCCCACACAAAAATAAGGCTCATGGTTGCAAGAGAATACGTGATCGCATAGCTATAATAAGAAGAAAGTTTGACAAGTTCTCTGGTGATATCACTCTCACGTTCGAGGGTACTTGCGAATGGAGGCGCACTTTTCTCTAGAGCAGAGGATGGCCAATCAATCCTATGGCCTTGACTCGTTGCTCGCTTCTAGTTAAGTAATTATAAGGCTAGATCCATTATAAAATGTGGATCACGTAATAAAATTATTAACTATTGCCAAAGCTTAAACGGTCGTTTCGATTCTTGAGTCGGTTGTGGTTTTTGTTGCGCATGTTTTAAATTACTTTTAAATATTTGGATATTTTGAGGTTCACTGTCTTTTGTTTCAAATTACATGAAATATTTGGATATTCTGAGTTTTGACTTATCTTTAAAGCTTAAGAATTGTTTAGGTTCAGAGGGCAAAAAAACCGAAACCGAAAAATCGAACCGGAATCGAACTAAAATATCCGAAATCGGAACCGAACGAAACCCTTAAATATCCGAATGGTTCTTATATTTATATATCTGAAATAACCAAACCGAATCGAGAATCGAACGGATACCCGAATATATAATAATAATAATTTTATATACATATAACATAAACAAATATATGATTTTAATTCAAAAATATATTAAAAGTATCCAAAAATAGTTGAAGATAACTAAATAATTATAAAGTATCGGAACTACCTGAAAGTATACGGATAGTTTTATCTAAATATCCAAAGTAATCTGAATTCCAAAGTAATCTGAAATATCTGAAATTTGTATCTAAATCTTTCTAATTATTTGATATTTTATCCTAAATAATTTATCCGAATTACCCGAACCCAAACCGGAGCTAAATGAGAACCAAAATTTCTAGATATTTTTTGATTCCTAATTTTACTATCCGAACCGAACTGAACCTGAAACTATCCGAACCGAACCGAACCCAATCGAAAATAGGTCAAGTAGTAAATTGATCCTCTAATCCCGTACCCGAACTACCCGAAACCCGAAATACCCGAACCGAACCGATACCCGAAACACCTAGGCCTAGTTCAGATGGTAGCCGAGTTGTTCAAACAAAAAAAATCTCTTTCTTATTAGTAGAGAAAACAAATTTGGAGAATTATTTACAACATGCCATGCTGAGTATGTTGAGTTAAGTTGGTAACACCACAATTCTCCTCAACCTCAATAGTTAACTAACTTTATTTTACTAGATTACTTACATAAAATACCATTGGTATTCACCTACCATATTTTCTTGAAATTATTATTAACATATGCTTTGTATCATTCGTATTTTGTAATAATAAAAACTGATGATTTTGAACCAAAAAAACAACTAACGATTAATCAGATGATGTGGATCTTCGGGTGCTGAGGGATATGGGTCAAATCAAGACAACGGCAGAAGATCGGAGCCATCGACGTTTGAACTAAGGGGAGATATTGACAACACTTGCTACGGTGGGGAAGAGTTTTCTGGATAGAACATGGTAAGATATTGAAAACACTAACCTCATCATCTCGAGTGATTGCAGCCGATCAAGCTGATTTTGTAGAATTCAGTACTTAGTAATAGTCTTAAGGTTCGATAAAGATTCAGTGGCTTCTTAAATAGTTCACTTGAGTTATGGCGGTCTCATGTAAATAGCGAGTTTCGTCATTCATCAAAGAGAAGGTCTCGTGGGCTTAGTTAAATAATATATAAGATATTTATGCAATTGTAATTTAGTTTTGTTATAATTAAATAATTAGTATTGATTGAGTGGTATAATGATTGTAGGTTTGGAATATTGGAAATAAATATTATATAGTACAACTTTACGTTACCCTATTAATTTTATGTTAATTATATGTAATTAAGATAAAATAAACAACTTCTTCAATTTATATTTAATAATAAATGTATATATTTAAAGTTAAAATTGGGAAGATTTTTCTTTTGGTTAAAATATGTTAAATCAGATTCTATACATATAAAAGAAAATTTGTTAGGTATATAATTATCAAAATATAAATTAGATCATATTGAAAATTTATAGATGTTATAAATAAAATTAACGGTACTGGGATTAGAAAATTATAATTTTTATAAAAACCCGCATAAAATTTTGCATAAAATTATTAATAAAAATGATATAATTTTAAAAAAATACATTTGAAAAATATTTCAAAATTTGTGAATATTGTTATATTTCTATTTCTACTATTATATTATTTATTGTTATGTTAATGATAATTTATTCTGTTTTGTTTATATAAAACTAAAATAAAAAAAAAATATGTACCGTCATGGATAAAATATCTTTATTTATGCAAGGGTTAAATAAAGTCTGAACTTTGAGGCTAAGGGTGATAAAATAGTATTCAGATTTCAATAACACTAGTAGGAAACAGGAATTGGTCTTGCAGCGTAGGCCATCCCTTATTTTTCCAAAATTTCCATAAGAATAGTAATAAACTTAGTGGATCATTTTTATCGGAAAAAAAAAACCTAGTGGATCATGACATCTATAATGTTAAAATTAGAGAAATTTATACTACTTAGGATTTTTATAATGTTATTGCAAATTTTCCATGCATATATATGATATTTACGCTAATCAGTATCCTTTTTTGCTCTATGAAGCCTAGGGTTCTTTTTAATGTCTTAAATTTTCAATAATAACCAAAGCTTCTGTGTTAAACATATTTTAAGTATCGTGGTCTGCTAACTTATATCATGTTATTGGATTTGAATGAAAAGGTAAATAAAAAGGAAAATTTTAATATCACATGTTATTTTCTATGATATTTTCTAGGAAAAAGCAGTTAAAACCAACCAAAACAAAAATCGGAAACTGATTTTAAGTTTCAGCTCTAAATCATGTTCTAAGTACACAAGTCTCTTCCTGTCTACTACTACTATACGTACGAAGCACTCTTGAAATCTCAAAAAAAAAAAACTGAACCAGAGAGTTGTGGTTCTTCAGTTTCAAAAACTCCACAAAATCATGTCTCTCAAACTGAACCAAAAAAAATCTCAAACTGAAACCAAACAAAAGTCAAAGCAAAGCAAAATCTTCAGTTTCAGTCTCTCTTCCTCTTTTGACCTGACACTGCAATGCAACAGAAAAAATTGTAATCAAGTTAACACTAGTAAAAACAAATTACAGAAACAACAAAAAAAAACAAACCTGAGTTGGCAGCAGCATAGTTAACCCCGGTAAATTTTCTAAGAAGGTATGATGGTGTAGTTATGGTTTCAACCTTGGCTTCCTCATCTTTAATTTGCCTGATTAAATTGGTCCTAGCAGTGTACTTGACGTTCAAAAGCATTTTGCATAGGGAAATATACATATAACCATGTTTACCATTGCCGGCTCCATGACTAGTCTTAACCAGCGCAACCCATTTCCCATCAATCCGTAGGATAGCCAGAACCAAGACTGCGTGCCATCCAATATAAAGTGAGTTCACCGATGAAGGTCCTTCATAGACTTTGTTTGACTGCAACAACGAAAACTCATTAATACTCAACAACTGTCATGTCATAGTGATTAATAAATCTAAATTGTGTTACTTACCGAACGAGTATCATCGTATTCAGGTTGATAGAGTATCATATCTGCAGACACTGCCTGGTGCAAAAGCATCTCGTGCAGATCTTCAATCCTATTGGATTCAAGGAACTCGACGTCAGCACCAAAACGGAACAGGGTTACATCATCTCGAGGTGGAGGATTATCAACACAGCTGTAATCCTTTTTGGTATCCGCAGGATTTTCTGCTGGAACTCCATGCTCTTTGATGAACTCAAGACCTTTTATAACTGGGTACCCGTGGCATTTATGATCGCGCCTTGCTTTTTTTCCACGTCGTCGACTGCTTTTTTTTCGCTGAGTCTTACTCACATAGAAAGTGAGATATCTCGCGGACATAACGCGAAATTCCTTGTCTTCTTTGTTCTTCAATCGATGACAGCTGAAGACGTCTGTGGACGTGTAAGTCCAGCAGTTGTCTGTATATACCACAAAAAGGAAAAGAAAAAAAAAGTTCAGTTAGAGAATTTTTTTTTAACTCAATTACATAGTTAGTAAGTACGTGACAGTACCATGATCTCCTTGGTTTCGAACAGGGCCACCGTGGTTAGCGCGTTTCCAGTTCTTTGCAGCCAATTCTTGGCTGGGTCTTTTCCCGGGAACGTCCCACAACAAGCAGGCGTCGCCTTTAAGAACGTTGAAGAAAGAATGTTTAGTAGAGAGGATATGGCCTGTGGCCTTCATCTCACCCTTCAAATCGTTTTGTATACGGGGTTCTGCAACAGAAGATTCTTGTTGAGCAGGCTTGGGATTCCTGCCACCACCAACCGTAGGATAAACATCATGCATAAGATGGCCCAAATTAAAGGGGAAGTCAGTGTAGCCGTAATCAAAATCTTCATCAGCTTCACAATCATCATCATCAAAGTAGTTGTTAGGCGCCACATACGCACGCCCTGGATCTTGACGCACGATATATGCTTCGTCCCAGGTCGGGCATTCCTTAACACAAGTCACTGTTGTTTTGTTCCATCCTCCTCCACAGTTGTAGCAAAACTCATGCCCACATCTGACGAGAATACCAAAAGGGTTATATGGTTAAACAAGTAAAGATTAAAAAACAATTCTTAAAGGCCGTTTCTTAGGATGATCAAAGAGAGATGATACCTGCAAGTTATATGATTGCATCCTTGAGTAACTTCAATCATGTGTTGGCACTTTCCGCATTGGCGCCACATTTTATTATTAGTTGCCACAGATTTTAGCTTCACATCATCGGCTGGAGGATTAGGATTAGGATGGAGTTTCTTGTATTCACTGCAAGAGAGCTTTCCATGCCACGGGACTTTACAGTCCACACAGAAGAGACCACGACATTCCACACATCTCCTGACTCCAGGTAAGCTCTTGGCCGATTCAGCTATCTTGGTTTTGGACATCAAAGCAGAACACCTCAGGTAAGGACAGTAAACTCTCTCTGTGACAGGTATTGCGTTATCCTTGATTCTTTGCTTCCACATTTCCTCCAATTTTGGAGTCAAAAGCTTGCCACACGCATCGATAACCATCTCAGACTTGCATGTATCATGAGGGCAATTCGGAATCATTCCGTGAAGCAGCTTCACCTCTACATGTTGCTTCACACACTGAAAGCAAAACTGATGGCTGCATTTGCCGATACCAAACATGCGCTTGGGATCGATGTTGTTGAAACAGATATGACAGTAGTCTTCTTTTGCTTGGCCTGGAGGGGTTGCTTGCGAGACAATTGACTCCCTAGCAAGTTTATAAGCATACTTCACTTCATTTCCAGCCACCAGAACAGCTTGACTAAACGTGAATTGTTGCCTGATCCGTTGCAAATCATCCATTAGCATGGATATCTTCATTTGCTTAGGCGTCCAGCTTCCCCTGACCTGCATTCAAATAAACATAAAAACAAAAACAAAAAAAATCTCAATGAAAATCTAGGTAAAGAAAGTATAACACATTGTAACCCCAATAGAAGAAAAACAAACACACATTAGCTACATCTACTGATTCAGGAACAGAGGAAACTTGAAGTCAGAAAAAAAAAAAAAAAAAAAGAGGAGAGTATATAAGCATGAGATGATCACCATTTCTACAAGATACACCAAAGGAAAAAAGAAGACACCATTTATATACGGATTCAAGTGAAGCATAAAAAATGAAGAAAAGTTCCAAACACACCATTCTATACGGACACAACAACACTCAAGTGAGAGTTAAGAGCAAACAACAAAGGAACAGAGGAAACTTGAAGTCAGGAAAAAGAACACACCATATCTATACGGACTCAACAACACATTGTAAAACTCTTTTTCATCACATTATAAAACTAATCTTTTTCTCTAGTCATGGCAGTTTCCGAATGTAACCCCAATAGAAGAAAAACAAACACACATTAGCTACATCTATTGATTCAGGAACAGAGGAAACTTGAAGTCGGGAACTTATATAAGGATGAGAAAGTTGCAAAGAGAGAGAGAGTATATAAGCATGAGAAAGTTGCAATGCTGATCACCATTTCTACAAAGATGCAGCAAAGGAAAAAAGAAGACACCATTTCTATACAACACAGCAAAGTCAAGTGAGAGTTAAGAGCAAACAACAAAGAAAGCAGGTGAGGATGAAGCATAGGCAATGAAGAAAAGTAGGGAAGTTTACGTATTGAAAAATGGGAAAAGAATCACAGAAGATAGTGACGTGTTTGATCCCCAGCTTGGACGCTTCCATCAGGCCACGAGTCAACGCCTGAATCTCCACACCCCTCTGACAATCCAGCTGACCCTTGGACTCAAACAACAGAGCATCCCTCTGGTCGCAAATGGCAACCCCAAACCCAGCCACCACCTTCCCTTTCCCACTCCCACTCCCACTCTCTTCGCTCACCAAACCCTTGGAGTAAATCCTGTACATTACGTCCGCATCAAATCGGATTTGCTTAGGCGTCCAGCTTCCCTTGACCTGCATTCAAATAAACATCAAGAAAAAGCCTAGGCCATTGCTCAAACACCTTGGAGACTCACAGTCTAATATAACAGTTTCTTTTATAAGAAAAAGAAAAATATATATATATTGACATTAAGAATCAAAGGTGAATCAAGATCCAATGTTTACTAAACTTAATGTTCATGATATAGACGAAAAATCCAAAGACTAGGGAAGAATGCAAACCTCAGATTCTGGCTTGGCCACGTAAGCGATTAGGTCGTCGGCGTCGTTATCCCTCTGCTCGTCAAACGTCGCTTCCTTGAGCTGTTTACACAGAGCAACAAGAAACAGTACTATTGAAACAAAAAATAAAATATCCAAGGCCATTGTAATTCCTCGATATGAACAGAACGTTCACAAAAAACTCTACCGTCGTGAAATTTACGCAAAAAAAAAAAAGGAAACCTCAGATTCTGGCTTGGCCACGTAAGCGATTAGGTCATCGTCTTCGTTATCCCTCTTTTCGTCAAACGTCGCTGCCTTGAGCTGTTCTTCTTCGCTGCTAGGGTTTCTTGAAACCCTAGAATTCGCCAATGTGGTTGTAGCCGTTGGTGTTATCGGGACTCGCTCCGAACTAGAAGACGCCATGGCCACTCGAAATCGATTTTCTCTCCAACCTTCGCCCCCCGTCTCTCTTCTCTCTCTCGGAGATGATGTTCTTATGATACTGCGTCGTAGTGGAGAAGTTTCGTCAAACTAGTCAAACAAGTATCAGAGCGATTGCTTTTTTAGGCCTTCTTCGCACATTTCTTTTAAGCGGCTAAAATAAATCTTTTCAATGCAAATTTAAAAAAAATATGAAAAGAAAAACAAAATTAGTGTTATTATGTGTATATGATGATGAGTTGTCTTGTCCAGTACGGAACGTTGAAAGTCGCCGTTCTATAACTTGCCTCCACGTGTCAAAAGACCTTCCTCCGTCTCTTCAAATAGACTAATCATCATGTAACAAATTTTTGTATTAATAATATTCTTCGTTCAAATTTGCATGAAAATATGGTTTACTCTAATCTAACTTCTTAATCACGTCAACATGCAAAACTATAATAACTAGAAAATATGGTTACCGAATCAAAACAAAAAGAATGTTACTATAACGACATCCGTAGGTCTCGCTGACGTGTCACACTTTGCCACCCCATATATTTACTGTGGATCCCACCCTTTCAACTTTATGAATAGAAGATTTTAAATGAATGTCACACTTGGTTATCAATTAAAAAAAAACAAAACGACGTCTCGTTGACGTGTCATAATATATTACACCATGTATTGACTGTGGGCCACACCTTTTCATGCTTTCTTGTTATTCTCATCACTCTTCTATATTCAAAATACGTCAAACGAACTAGAAAGAAGGAAATATATTGCAAGTTGGAAATTTAACATGAAGTTGAAGAACATATATACAAAGCTTAAGGTTTGCCTTGTGTCGCTCTTTAGAAAACTGATTAAAATATATATATACATGACTCACCAAATTAAGTACGTATAATTATCCCAACCTCACTTTATCATGATCAGTTTCACAAATGAAGGATCACTTCTCTTGAAGAATCTGTTTCCAAGTTCAAACGCTTCAACCTCCATTCAAACGCAGCCGCGCTTTCGTCCACCGCACCAAGACCACGTACGCTGCTGCTTCTAGATGCGTCGAGGATCATTTTAGCTAATGTAACCCATTCTCATTAATCCTCGGTCTTCATCACACTACTAGACCGATGTATATTATATAATGTCCGTGGTGGTAGGAGCACATAACGTGCACGAGTTTTGATCCCTCTTGTCATAATGTGACGTCACCCCATGTATTGACTGTGGACCCCACCTTTTCATGCTTGCTCGTCATTCTAATCCCTTCTTGTTGACTAAAAAAGTTCATATACGTCAAACGAATGAATAAGAAATATATATTACAAGTTGGAAATTTAACTTAAAGTTAAATAACATATATATACAAAGCCTAGGTTTGCCTTATGTCGCTCTTAGACAACTAATTATAATTATAACTCACCAAATTAAGTACGTACTCACCAACCTCACTTTATCATGATCGAATTTGACGAATGAAAGATCTATGTTCGCATCTTTGGCTTCGAGTATGGATCACTAATGAGATGAATGTTCTTGGAAGTTACGAAGTCAACGAGAAGGTTAAGTTCACGTCTGGTCAACGCAATGCCAAGTGAGTTAGATAGATCGTCAAACGAATAAGATAATACATAAGAAATATATATTACAAGTTGGAAATTTAACTAAAGTTAAATAACATATCTGGATATATATACAAAGCCTAGGTATGCCTTATGTCTCTCTTAGAGAACTGATAAAACACTATAACTCACCAAATTAAGTACGTGCTCATCATGACTTTGACGAATATAATGGAGGATCTTTGTTCGCCTCATTGGCTTCGAGTATGCATGGATCACTTCTCTTGACGAATCTGTTTCCGATTCCAAATGCTCCAACCTCCATTCAAACGCAGCCGCGCTTTCCTCAACGCACCAAGACCACGTACGTTGCTGTTTATATATAATGCCCGTGGTGTGTACGTAAGAACACATCACGTGCATGAGTTTTGATCTACTCTTGGTTCTTTTCTTTTTTTCTTTCTGGATAAAATGTAAACATATATAGGTACCAAAGACTGCAGATGTTTTACAAAAGATACCTTTTGTTTCTACAGAAAGCCATAGTCCAGTCGAAAAAAGAAAGCCATAGAACCTTAAAAGAAAAATATTAATAACAAAAAAAAGACTCAAGACAAGTAGTGGTATCTTGTACAGTAAGGAAACTTGAAAGTCTGACTTTAAAAAACAATCTCAATTAGTCTCACTACAAGAAAACATCCTTCCCTCCGATGAGATTTACCGATAAATTCTTTTATCGGAAAGGTTATGGCAGATTTGTGATAACTTAGCGATGACATGTGAATGTTGTCGGATTCGTCTCGGAAGTTTCCAATGAATCAAATTTCTCGGTGGTTTATCGAAATGTATTGTGGGCATATTGTCGGTAATATAAAAACTTTCCGAGGAGCAAGGTTTGTCCGGAAGTTCTCAGAATTGTTCTCGGTGATTTATCGGTACAATCAAGCTTCCGACAATTGATTCTCTTCTTGGTACAACCTCGGAAAAGTGATAATTCTTTTGTCGGAGCAACTTTGGTTTTCTCTCGGAAATTACCAACAACCGATTATTCTTGGAACGAGATTGAAAGATTTGACGGAAAATCGTGAGAGATTGTAGCGTACATGTGACGCCACTTGAAGGAAAACCGACCATGGTTTTTGTCGGAAATTTTCTGTATATAAACGTTACTCTGTGAATCTGAACAGAACAAAACAGAGAGCATTCATATGAGTTTTTTCAGAATGTTGATTTTACAACTGAGGGTAGATGAAGTTAAAGACAATGAATTTTTGCAGTACAATGGTTTTACGGTGAGGCATATACATCTGAAAGTGAGGATGCACATCTGGAAATTCTTCTCGTCAATGAAGAAGATACTAATCCCAGACGTTAAGAAGATAACGACAAGAAGATTTTTTTTGTTGTTTTTGATTTGCTTTGATTATTTATTTTTAGTGTACCATTACGTTTATATTTTTAGTAATTTTCACTGTATTTTTCTTTTTTGCTTGCTGTATCATTTGTATTATCTTTAAAATCAAGTGCTCTCTTTTTATTCAATTTAATAACTTCTTTATCTCTAATTTTAATAATATCGAACAATGTCCCAGAAGTTTTATGTGGTTTCACCGGAAAAGACTGTTACACCGATTTCTCATCGGTAAAAACAATGGAACTTCTCATTGGATAAATCTGCCTCCACGTGGTAAAGGACGTTCGTCTCTCTCGCGCCATGCTCCTCTTTTATCTCTTCAACGTCTATACGGTTAAGGGACAAAACTGGTAGTGTAAAATGAAGAACATTTTGAGAATATTCAGATCATGTAACAACTTGTATATATATATATGGGTAGGAGCAGATCACGTGCATCGTTGCATGATTTCTGATCTACTCTTGTTTCTTTCTTTTGGATAATATGTGACTTTATATGTATATATACACGTACCAAAGGCTGCAGAGGTTTTACAAAAGCTACATGTTGTTTCAAGACAGTATTAATAACAAAAAAAAAAGACTCAAGACAAGTAGTGGTATCTTGTACATTACGGAAGGTTGAAAGTCAGACATTAAAAAAAACATCTCAATTAGTCTGGGTTTGATAAACATGCTTCCACGTGTTAGAGGATGATGATCGTCTAATGTCACTTTCTTTTATCTCTTTAACGTCTATACGGGATAAAGGACGGAACTGTGAAATGAAGAACATCTTGAGAAGTGAGCTCCTTCTCCTCTCACGGCGGACATTATGTATATATAAGAACATCTGGAAAAATCTGTTTCTAATTCCAAACGCTTCGACCTCTATTCAAACGCAACCGCGCTTTCGTCCACCTCACCAATACCACGTACGTTGCTGCTTCTAGATGCGTCGAGGATCGTTTTAGCGAGCTATCCCTGAGGCTGCCGCCATTACGGCTAAGTCGTAAGAGTAACAACATCATCAATGTTTAACGGTCACCATTCTTCGTACAATATAGACTATACGCCTTGTTCCTCTTTGTTCATCAGACTGGACCCGTTATATGTACATAATGTCCGTGTTGTGTAGGAGCAGATCACGTGCAAGGAGTTTTGATACTCTAGTTTATTTTTTTCTTCTTGATAAAATGTGAATATATATATATATATATATAAAAGCTACTTTTTCTTTCTAAGACAAAAAGGTAGCTATAGAACCTAAAACATATTCAGAATCATTCAGATCATCATGTAAGAAGCTTGTATTAATAATATTCTTCGTTCAAATTTGCATGAATCTAACTTTCTAGCTTAATCACGTCAACATGCAAAACTATAATAATTAGAAATTTTAAAAGAATGTCAACTTGATTACCGAATAAAAACAAAAAGAATGTCAACTTGTGTCACACGTTACTTGTGTGATACCACTAGCCATTACAAGAAGGCATGTATTGGGGTCCCTCCATCTCCGTCGACAGTATCTAGACAACCTATGCTCCAAAGACAACATAAAGATGTTTCAAAGTGCACATGATGCCGTCTCTTTTTCCTCCTCTTTAGCATTTGAAAGCTTTTTTTTTTTTTTTTGCTTCAGCTTTTTGTGTACTTGAATATGTAGCCTCTCTCTTTACATTCTAATGCCAAAATATTCATCTTGTTGGCAATATCATCGAATAAGGTCTCTCTTTACATTTTGGAACCAACGCGAACCGCTAAGATGCTGTTCAGTTGCTGCTGACCGTTGAAGAGAGAATGTTTCAAGCTGGGAAAAAGAGACATAAGTAGATCAACAACTTGTACACTTAATGACTCTGTTTTTGTGGTTGCTTCAGTGTTGTCAGCCAGCAGCAGTCTCGTCCATAAACTGTTGGGTGGGAATCCTCTAGTGATACACAACGGGTGTAGTTTATAGTTCAATTCACATGATACTGGTAAAATAGTTGTGCAAATGACATGGGCATTTGACAAACAGAGCAACATGTCCTACAACAAATGCAACAAGTAGCAATATTGTCCTGCAACAGCTGTGAATCTTGATTACAGATTATAAAAGGTTTTTTTCTTAGCTAAATTTAAAGCAATAGATTCAAGGTTTCACAGTACTATCATCAATAAAGGAAAGAAAGAAAAAAAACATCCCAATAATCTCTCTATCAGATATTTTAGCAAATCCACGACATTTCTTGGTTTAGCCAGCTCTGGTTTCAGCGTCTCTTACTCTTTCTCTTTTGGCTTGTCCCTGAAAAAATGCAACAGAATAAAACTATAACCAAATTAACGTACTAAAAACAAACCAAAGACAACAACAAAGATACAAACCTGACTTAATTTTGGTTGGCACCATAATCCACACCCGTAAAATCCCGGAGAAGTAATGACGGACGAGCTACGGGTTTCTCCTCATCATCAAGGATTAGTCCCATAGCTTCGTCGTCAGTAATGTATTCGACATCCAAGATCATCTTGGTCAGGGAAATATACATATACCCGCCTGCACCTGCGCCTTCTCCATGGCTCAATTTGACCAAAGCAACCCATTTGCCTTGAACTTTCACAACTTGAAGAACAAGAACAGAATGTAAGCCATCATACCATGATTCCTCAGATGTAGGCCCTTCATATACTTCATCCAGCTGCAATATATATCTCAAAATCATTATCATATTGCAAGACTACCAAATACTGATCAATATTGCCAGTAAATGTTACTTACTGTATGGATATCGTCGGAAGTATTCCGGATGATAAAGAATCATATTGGCAGCCACTGGCTGGTGCAAAAGCATAGCGTACAAAGCTTCAATCTTACTTGATTCACAAAACTTAACATCTTTACCAAACTTGAACACGGGTTGAACTCGCTTTGGCGGACTGCTAATGCAGCTCATGTAACCATCTGTTGCATCACTAGGACGTTCTTCCTCGGGAACCCCGTTGTCTTGTATGAACTCAAGACCCTTTATTACAGGGAACCCGTGGCACATATGATCCATCCTTCTATTTTCTGAAAGTGTTGTTATCTGTCGCTCATCCTCACTAACATAGAAAGTTAGATATTTTGCACTCAGGACGCGAAAGTGATCATCTTCTCCGTTTATGAAACGATACGATGAATAAACATCTGTAGATGCGTAGATCCAGCAGTTATCTGCAAGTACAAAACCCAAAAAATAAAAATAAAAAAAAAAGACAGTTTGAAAATGATAAAAGACCCAAAGACTTACTGCGATTTTTCTCTTTATTTTTCATCCAAATAAAACTACATCAATCAATTAATATATAATAGCAAACACCTAAAGTAATTAACTACCCAATATATCTCCCAACAAGAGCACTTCCACTAATACACGTACGTACGTGTATTCTTATCAGAAACCCAATAATATATATAAAAATCTAATGATCAGAAAACATATCAAAGTCAATTAATAATATAAATAAGAAGTGGTAAAAGTACATTACCATGATCGCTCTGGTTTCGAACTGGGCCTCCACGGTTTCTATCTCTCCAGTTTTTTGAAGCCAATTCTTCATCAGGATCTTCCCCACGAACATCCCACAACGTACATGCATGTCTTCCCTTTAGCATCTTCGAGGAAATAACTGTCACCTTGGGGCGAATACTCATCTATAAGATTGAACACTTCTTCCAGTATCGGGGGCGGTTGAACAGAACCTGATCCAAAGTCTTTTGTAGCAGTCTCGGCCCTCTTGTCCCGAACAGTAGGATAAAAATTTGGTTTGTAAACCTAACATCCAAATCACAGATCATTAATGTCAATAAGATTTTTGATAAACAAAAAGAAGAAGAAGCAGTTCAAAACAGAAAACCACGAGCAACAAAAGAAGGCCCATTGACTGACTAGTACGTATAATTCCTCCATATGATGATGATCACTTAGAACAGAACATAATTAATTAAGGCAATTCTAAAATAGAAACTATTTCAAAACTGAACCAGATCATCTAGCACTGACCCACCCCACAAGCAACAAGAAACAGCTCTTGAAAAAATATATATCCAAAGATATGAACTTATAGGCCTTACAAAATATCAAATCAATAAAGACTGGAAGAAGATAAGATCTCAAATATTAATTAGTTTAAGGTCTTACGCTTGAGATAGCAGTCTGACACTACAAGAAAACAATGCCAACTCCGACAAAAATTTATGAGAAAGTGAATTATCGGAAGATTTGCTTGGTCTTTATGAGAAATTGCCGAGAAAATATCAATTGTATCAGAAACTTCTCGGTAAATTCCGATGAACATTACTTGTCGGAATTCTATCAGTTCATATCGTCGGAATCTTGTGGGTATAAAAGAAAATGTTTCCGAGAACTTTATTTCCTCTGAAAACTGTCGGTATTCTCTTGGAAATCACTGACAACAGGAACGCCTCATAAATTTGTCGGAGAATTTGACGGTAAATCAACGGCGGAGTTTCCGAGACGAGATCGACGACAACCGTTCCCACTAATTTATCGGTATGTGGTAGTTTCGTTGGCTTGGGAGTTCATTAATTTCTTAAATCTCCCTTCTCCAGTAAGTTTTTATATATCACCATATTCATCTATTCTTCTCACAGAGAGTTTTCAAGATTCAACCATACCTCTGAGTATCTGACGAAGGTAACAATATCTTAAATTCTTTTCAAAATTTATTATGCTTTATATTCTTATGATATAATGAATGGATATTTTGAGTTGTGGAACCAAGGTAGAATTTGTTTGGCAGATCTGGGTTTGGGGGTGTTTGTTGATGGAGGAAAACGGCGGCCCTGGTGTAGGAGAGATGGGTTACCTTACAAAATTGCCTCCTCAACAACAAACTCTTCTTCTCAACAGGATTATTGCAGCTTTGATTCCGGCGGCGGAACTTCACGGCGTCATGGTGACAGATCTGGTGTACGACTACATTATTTTCTTCGGTGGTTAAGGTCTTGTATCCTCGGTTTTGTCTAGTATTTTTAATTCCAATTTTGTACACCGTTTCTAATCTCCAATTAGGGTACTGGTTTATTCGTATTAGTGTATTAATTACATGTATATGTTGTTGTCCGAGTCATAGTTAGGAAACTAAACCGGGACATTGGTGTGGTTTAGTTGAGCTAAGCTTCGGCTCGGCTCCAATCTATTTTTTTTTTTTTTAATTTTTTTTTTGGATTTGTCGGCAAGTTCTCGGAAATCACCGCCAACATTTCGACAACACTGTTTGTCGATGATAAGATAGTCGGAAACACCTCGTCTTTTTCCGACAACCACTTCCAAGATTAATCCGAGAGAAATGTTTCGTCACTAAATTTCCGACAAACAGACGATGAACGTCATTTTCCGAGGCTCAAACCCCGACCAATTATTGATTCTCAGAAACGTCTCGGAAATCATGAATTCCGACGAGTTTCCAATAATTATTGCTGTCGGCACAGAGACTTTTTCTTGTAGTGTGAAGGTCCTTGTTCAAACTCTCTTCTGCTTGAGCTAAAACAGAGAGATATGTGGTGTCATCCACAGTGCCCTTAGCAGCATCCTCATATGCAGCTGAGTGATCTCGTCCCATGTTGTGTTTGTTATCATCATCGTCAACCTACAGAGCAAATAATCAAAGATCAATATTACAACATTGTGGTTTTTGCTAAATAAATTACGCAGGCAGGAACAGAAAACATTTTCTTCCAAAAATAGAACCAAATCAGGACACGAGAGCATGCAACAAGAAACAGTACTATTAGGTTATCCCTCTTCTCGTCAAACGTCGCTTCCTTGAGCTGTTCTTCTACGCTGCTTGAAACCCTAGAATTCGCCAATGTGGTTGTAGCCGTTGGTGTTATCGAACTAGAAGAAGCCATCGCCATTCCAAATCGAAATTTCTTCAACTTTCGGAGATCAGAACGCCGACTATCGTCTCTCACACGCACCAAAAGCGAAGATACAGAGGGTCTCTTCTTTTTCTGATACTGCATGCGTCCTAGTGAAGTGTTTTTATTCGACTAGTCAACCACAGCGTTTTTAAGCGGCTAAAATAAAAAAAATCGGAATTTAAAACAGAATGGAAAGAAAAACTCTAACACAAATCCCTTATATATATGAGTTATGAGTAAATGTCTTGTACTGTTCGGAACTTCCGTTCAAAGTCTCCGCGTGCGTGTTAGAAGACTCCTCCTCTTCAAACAAATGACTTAAAACATATTGAGAATCATTCATTCATGGGCGATAGGGACCCACATATAAAGTAACAAGTCTCATCCTTTATTTAGACACACATATTCTTAAATTTGATGGGTACCCTCCACTAACTAAATCTTAATCCTTAAGTCCAAAACTCTTCAATTTTGCTAAGGACTTTTGGCTAAGAATTGCCGTTGTACTTGCTCAAATTTGCATGAAAATATATCAACTTTTCCATCCTTGTCAAGTCAACACGCAAAGCTATAAATAGAAAATGAATCTCGACTTGGTTATCAAATAAAAGCCTAAAAGAATCTAACTTATATTGACGTGTCATGATATGCCTCCCCATGTATCGAATGTGGACCCCCACTTTTCCAACTTTATGTTTACAATATTTAAAAGAATGTCAACTTGGTTATCAAAATAAAAAAAAACAAACATGAACTTGTAACTAGTCCGTACGTAGGTCTCGTTGACGTGTCATAATATATATTACCCCATCTACTGACCTTTGCTTGTCATTCTAATTAATATCCCTTCTGCTCATTCGAAAATTTCATATACAATATTAGAAAGAAGGAAATTTATTGTAAGTTGGACATTTAACATGAAGTTGAAGAACATATATATAATAGACATTTACAAACCCTAGCTTTACCTTATGTCGCTCTTAGACAGCTGATAAAAATATAACTCACTTTATCATGATCACTTCTCTTGAACAATATGTTTCCAAGTTCAAACGCAGCTGCGCTTTCGTTCACCGCCCCAAGACCACGTACGTTGCTGCTTCCAGATGCGTCGAGGATCGTTTTAACTAGCTAGCCCTGAGGCTGCCGCGCCCCATTAGGGCCAAGGCATAAAAGTAACACGTACGTCATCAATATTTAACGGTGACCATTATTCGTACAATATAAACTATACGCCTTGTTCCTCGGTGGGTAGGAGCAGATCACGTGCATGGGTTGTGATCTACTCTTGTTTCTTTCTTTTGGATAATATTCTGACTTTGTGTGTGTATATTTACGTACCAAAGGCAAAGGCTGCAGAGGTTTTACAAAAACCTACATTTTGTTTCTAAAGAAAGCCACGGAACCTTAAAACATAACAATAACAAAAAATACAAAAACATTTCAATTAGTCTGGGTTTGATAAACATGCCTCCACGTGCTAGAGGAGATGTTCGTCAGTCTAGCGCCATGCTCCTCTTCACTCCGGTGACTGGTCTGTCACTTTCTTTTATCTCTTCAGCGTCTATACGGCTTAAACGACGAAACTGTGAATGAAGAACATCTTGAGAACCTGAATCATTCAGATCATGTAACTTGTAAGAAGCTTATATTATACTTTTCTTTCAAATTTGCATGAAAATATGGTTTAGTCAACTTTCTAGCCTAATCACGTCAACATGCAAAACTATAAATATATATAAAATTTAAAATAAAAACAAAAAGAATGTAACTATAACCATGTCCGTAGGACTCGTTCACGTGTCATGATTTGCTACCCCATGTACTGACTCTGGATCCTAACCTTTAATTTCATGCTTACTTGTCATTCTATTCCCTCTTGTTGACTCAAAAAAATTCATATACGTCAAACGAATGAGAGAGAGTAAGAAATCTATTGCAAGTTGGAAATCTAACATGAAATTTAAGAACATACAGACATATAAAAGCCTTTTTCATGCCCTGCCTATGTCGCTCTTAGACAACTGATCAAAAATATAACTCACCAAACTAAGTACGTACTCACCAACCTCACATCACGAATGAAGGATCTATGTGATCGCCTCTTTAGCTTCGAATATGGATCACTTCTCTTGAAGAATCTGTTTCCAAGTCTAAACGCTTCTACCTCCATTCAACGCAGCGGCGCTTTCGTACGCCGCACCCAGGGCCGGCCCTGAGATTTTGGGGGCCTGTGGTGATTTCTAAGTAAAAAAGTTTTTTGGGGGCCTAAAACTTTTTTTGGGGCCTATGCTCATGTAATTTTCTACAAAATTTTTGGGGGCCTGAAACAAATGTTTCACCAAGCATTGCCCAGGGCCGGCCCTGGCCGCACCAAGAGTCCAAGACCACGTACGTTGCTGCTTCTAGATGCGTCGAGGATCGTTTCAGCTAGCTAGCCCTGAGGCTGCCGCCATTAGGGCTAAGGAGTAAGAGTAACACATCATCAATATTTTGGCGGAAAATCTCGATTTTAGTTTTTGGCGAGAACAACTTTATTTTCGGTTTTGGCGGGAAAAACTCTATTTTCGGTTTCGGCGGAAATCTTGATTTTTCAAATTTCGACGGAAAATCTTGATTTTTCATGTTTAGCGGGAAACTCAATTTTGGTTTTGGCGAGAAAAAACTTTATTTTCGGTTTTGGTGGAAAATCTCGATTTTTCGGTTTCGGTGAGAAAACTCTATTTTCGGATTTGAGAAAAAAATGATTTTAGGTTAAATATAAAATT